GTCCATCTAGCTTTTGTAACAACGTTTTACCCTTGTGAAGGATTGTTAATTAATTCGAAACTTTTAAAACCATTTATTTTACATTCAACATCATCACTTGATAAGACACTGAGAGTGTTGAAACAAAATGGCTATTTTTGTAGTGATTTTATAACATATTTATGTTATAAATTTTTTTTTAAATAAATAATTATATATATACATATATATATATATATATATATATAATTATAATTATAATTTAGGCTCTACTTATGTATTGAGCACTATTTTTCAAAAAAAAAATACTAAAAACTTCGGATTATTAACCTAACGTGTTCTTTCCTATTTTTCTATATATTTGCATATATATATTCGCCTCTCTCTGTCTTTTTTACAAATACTTTCATGGCAATTGCTCTGAGGAGCTGCATTCGCTGGTTCCCAGACTTCATGAGTTCAAGCACCCTATGAGGCTGGCATCCCGCTCTCACTCTTTCACTGTCGAAACTACTAAATGTAGCCGTCTCTTCTACTCCAATAGCTTCATATCTTGCAACTCTCGCCTGTGGAACACCCTTCCCAATTACTGTTTCCCTGAGAGCTATAATCTCCAACTATTCAAATGTAATGTCAATCGACATCTCCAGTTGCCTTGCTCTATCCACTATCCTTCTCCTCATCCTTTCCCTCTATCACTCCTATCTGATCTTGCTCCAAATCTTCTGTAACCTCTTGCGTCCTAGTGGCTTCCCGCCTTGCTTGGGGTGAAACGCTTAAAAAATATATATATATATATATATATATATATATATATATATATATATATATATATATATATATATATATATATATATATATGTTAAATTAAATAATATATATATATTAAAACAAAATCTAAATAAAACAGACCACTTTAAGGTTCCATGTAATAAATTATTTCACCACAGCCCTTTTAAACAACTGCGGATCATCAGACTTTTACTTCCAAAATGTTGAAACGAAAAATGAAAAATAATATATATATATATATATATATATATATATATAACACATACAATATATATATGGGACAGAGAATAATAAGGAATCCGCTCTTTGGTCTCGTGAGTCCGGTTTATCATCTAATACCGGCCAATTTTATAGGTCGTTAGGAACCAGGAAAGCTATCTTCGGTGCTGAAATTGGCTTTCTTTTCTGCGTAACAAGGATTTTAATTGTACATCATTCGGCGATCTACATCGATTTAGATAACGGAAGCCTAACCAAATTTTTCATTTTATTGAGCTTCACAAATCTCCCGAAACAGGAAAATAACAATGGCTGCTATTCTTGCTTCTAACACTCCCTGGGCAGCCATTTTGGCCACCAAGTGTCGTTCATTTGTTTTGCAAATCAAAAGAGAATTGTTTTGTGTTGGTTGTCCTAATTCGAAAAGCAATGTTAATGGTTTTACTTAGTCGGAGCCAAAGGGAAATTTACACCGTATCTATTTTAAGTTAATATCTGACCACAAGTCAGATACATTTATAAGTCTACTTGGGTGGATAGCAATGTAGAGAGTTCGATTCTTATTGGTTATTTTCTTGTGAATTGTCTTATGTCAGAAACGAAGGATTTTTATAACAGAAACGTGATACCTAAAAAATGAATTTTTCTTTCTTAAAGCTATTATTTTAGATTTAATTTCAGTCTAATGGATTAAATTTCTAAGGAATTAATGGATTTATTTTCTATTGTATTAGAAGTTATTATAGTTAATTCTCGTCTTTGAAATAGACGCCCTATTTTTATTTTAAACAGTGCGTATTTAAAAAGGTAAAAATGAATTTAAAAAGAAAACATTCTTGTACCTTTTATATTAGTCTTAATTTCAAGCTAATAGATTAAACTGAATATTTCCAGTAAGAAAAGTACTTTAAAAACGAATTTAAATTGATTGGAATCAGCTTTATTTTAATGGTTAAGATACCTGTTTTTAGTCATAGTAACAATTCTTTCAACACAACGTAATAGAAATTTTATTAAAAATCTTTAAAAAATAAAATATATTATATTTTTCTGAGATTTCATTTGAGGAAAATTAGCTGATTATTTATTTAATTAAATTATTAAAAAAAAATGAAAACAATTCCTGTAAATATGCATTATTCATCAAAACATTTCTTAAAACAAAAGTTTCCATAATATACCTTATTCAAAAAAGGAATTAAAAGCTTTTCTAATTAAACAATGTCTTAGATTTATTGCATTCTACGTTTTTACCATTTAAGGCACATTTTAGGTAACTGGGGGAGGGGTCCTGTTTTACAAAAACAAACTGATGATTTAAATTCTCCAAGTACTTGTGCTTATAACTAATATTAATATTAAGATGTACAAAATAAATTTTCTCAAATTTTCATAAAATTGAACAAGTGGAGGGTAACGTATATATATATATATATATATATATATATATATATATATATATTATAGTAAAAAAAAGAACAGTAAGATATATAATCCGGTGTTCTTATTGATATTTTTTATTTTTACAAAACAGTGCTGAATGTAAATTTCCAGAGCATAAATATTATAAATTAACTGATTTAAAAATATGGTTCCTTCTCTACACAGGAATTACCATGTTTCAAAAATCGAAGCTTAAAACTTCAAATTTAATTATATAATTAAATTAAAAGCATTAGTTCTGTTTCATCTTCACGCGAATTTTGGAATAACTTATTTTTAAATTTACTGAGTTTTAAACGTACATACAATTCATAATTTATTTTATTTTTTTTTTTTCCAAGGATACAGAGAACGGAAAAAATGCCGAAAAAATTTTGTCGTTGATAAAAAAAATAACAGATAACATACGTGGAACGGATGTCAGAATTCATTGAAAAATACACCCGTACCCTCCTTAAACTTAACGTCTTTTTCGAACGTAACTCATAATTGATACAACAGTAGTTGATAGAAATGAACACGCTACCGCCCTTGTCTGAATGATTGGATATCTTTATATCCTTGGAAACAAAAAATTATGAATTGTATGTGCTTTTAAAACTCAGTAAAACTTTTGTAAAAATAAAAATATCAATAAGAACACCGGATTATATATCTTACTGTTCTTTCTTTTTTAAATCAGTTAATATATATATATATATATATATATATATATATATATATATATATATATATATAAAGATTTTCTAAAAATGAAACCTTTCTTAAATAATTTCATTTGTAAGTAAGACCTAAAATTTGCATTAAAATCCGACGATTATTTCATTTTTGCAGTTATTTCCAAATCAATGTGTTTCGCACTGAAAAAAATATAAATAAAAAAAAAAAAACGCTAAAATTTCTTGTTTAATTCAGGGTCACCAGCTACCGCAAAAACAAAATAATTTCCTAAATTTTGCGTTCTAAAAATGATTTCAGAATATAATTTGTAATAAAAAAATCCTTTGGTATTTCCTCTTAATAATAACATAAAGATTTTGACGATAAAACTTTGTTTTTATTAAGCTTAAGTCATATTTTTCATCATGTATGGACATTTTTTAGCGATTCTTTGGAGGAATCTAATTTTAAGTATGCTTCGGCGTAAAGCAATAAGAAATCAAACCTTATAGCATCGTTCCAGAATAATCTACGCTTGTGTAATAACAATAATAATAATAATAGATAGATAGATAGATAGATAGATAGATAGATAATGAATTGAACCAGATAGATAGATAGATAGATAGATAGATAGATAGATAGATAGATAGATAGATAATGAATTGAACCAGATAGATAGATAGATAGATAGATAGATAGATAGATAGATAGATAGATAATGAACAGAAAAGGAAAGTTGGCTCTCTGTGCCGCGCCAGGAAATTTTCCTCCCCGGAATCGATACTTCAAATATACAAAACAACCATTCGCCCTTGCATGGAGTATTGCTGCCATATATGGTCTGGGGCACCTTCTGTTTACCTCGGAGTTCTTGACAAGATCTAGAGACGGATATGCAATATAATTGGCCCTGTTCTGGCATCTCGTCTACAGTCACTCTCTCACAGACGCGCCGTCACCTCTCTCTGTCTTTTCTACAAATACTTTCATGGTAATTGCTTCCGATGAGCTGCTTTACTGGTTCCCCAGACTCCATGAATTCAAGCGCCCTACGAGGCTGGCATCCCACTCCCACCCTTACACTGTAGAAACTTTTAAATGTAGCCGTCTCTTCTACACCAATAGCTTCATACCTCGCACCTCTCGCCTGTGGAACACCCTTCCCAATTACTGTTTCCCTGAGAGCTATAATCTCCAACTATTCAAATGTAATGTCAATCGACATCTCCAGTTACCTTGATCTAACCACTATCCCTCTCCTCATCCTTTCTTCTATCACTCCTATCTGTTCTTGCTCCAAATCTTCTGCAACCCCCTGCATCCTAGTGGCTTCACGCCTTTCTCGGGGCGTAATGCTTAAAAAAAAAAAAAAAGAATCTGATAACGGATAAGCGGAGAAAATTGCATTGGATTTTCAAGATTTGCCCCGATTACCTGGTGGTCTGATTAAGCGGAATATATGCTAATAATCTACTTCGAAGAGAAACTGTTTAACGATGCAAATAAGCGTAAGGAATTATTAGAACTTTTAGAATTAACGGATTGCCAACTGATCGTTGCCCCAATTAACCGGAATACACTTACTGAGAAAGCAATCTGAAATCCTTCCCGTGCACAGAGAATACTGAAGTTTCTTTATAAATGTGAGTTGCGCAGTAAGCGTCCACAGTTCTGCTTACAAGTTCCTATGATAATGTACTTTCCGCCTATCTTAAATTCCTGGGCTTTGAAGAGAAATGTTGCCAAAGTGAAACGCACAATCCCCTCCGCACGATTCCAACCGGAAGACTGATTCACCAATCAGCACGCAAACTCTACATAACGTCACGTCGAAGGACTGAGACTTCTTCTCGTGTTGTCAATGGATTCTAAGAATTTCTGACTCGCATCTCGTATTTACAAACATGTTTTCCTCATATCAGGTACCGCCGCCTTTCATTTTTAAATCGTTAAACCACGCTAAAACGCATCAAAAACAATTTGTTGTTGTTGTTGTTGTTGTTCTTCTTCTTCTTCTTCTTCTTCTTCCTCCCCCTCCTCCCTCTCCTCCTCTTTGTGTCTCCCCTGATGTCTTTCTTTCACACAGAATCGTAAATATAAGGTTCTGCTTCTTCCTTTATTTTTACTTGCATCTCTCTGGTCTTCTTCTTCTCTCTCTCTCTCTCTCTCTCTCTATCTCTCTCTGTCTCTGTCTGTCTGTCTCTCTCTCTCTCTTTCTTTCTTTTTTTTTTCCACGTTATATTTCAATCTCTCTTTATTCCTCTTTCTTTTTTCACTCTCCACTCTCGTTTCCTGTTTCTCTCTTTCTGTTTAGTTCTTTTTACGTTTATTTTCTTTGATTCTTCTCTTTCTCTCTCTCTCTCTCTCTCTCTCTCTTTCATTCTCCACTCCCGCTTACCTTCGTCTTTTCCTTATTTCTTCTTCTTTACTTTCTTTCATTCTTTTCACTCTCGTTTTCTCTTATGCTTTTCTTCTTTCTCTCTTTTTTTTTTGTCGTCTTTCCATCTCTCTTCCTTATCGATTCTCGATTTCTTTGTTTCTTAATTTCTTTTTTTCTCCTCTTTTGTTCCCTCTTTCTTTCCTACTCTTTACTGCTTCCACTTTTCCTTTACGTTTTATTTCCTTATTTTTTCTTTCTTTCTTTTCTTTCTTTCTTTCTTTCTTTTCTTTTCTTTCTTTCTTTCTTTCTTTTCTTTTCTTTCTTTCTTTCTTTCTTTCTTTCTTTTCTTTTACTCTCTTTAATTTCTTTCTTGTCTCATTCGCTTTTCTTCTTTCTCCTTTTGGTCTTATTTCCCTCTCTTTTTCTTTTCCCCCATTCTATATCTCTTTTTTTTCTTCTTTTTTCACTCTCATTCGCTTCCTTCTTTCTTCTTCTTTTCTTCTTTCCGTCTCATTTCCTCTCTCTTCTAATCCTCTCTCTCTCTCTCTCCTTTCTTTCTATTCTTTCTTTTGCTTTCCTTCACTTTTCCTTTGCTCCTCTTTCTTTCTTTCTTTTCTATAGTTTCCTCTTTTTTATTTTCCTCCTTCTCTCGTTTTTTTCTTTTTCATCTTTTTATATCTCACTTGCTCCCTCTCTCTCTCTCTCTCCCTCTCTCTCTCTTTCTTTTTCCTTCTGTCTTCCTTTCTCGCCATTTTTCTTTTATGAACTTTCTTCCACCTTTTCTTTCCATCATTCTTTTCATAATTTACTTTCGTTCTTTCTTTCTTTTTACGATTCTTCTTCTCTTTCTTTCTTCAAGTCATCTTCCTTTTTTCCTCTATTTTGATTTCTTTAGTTCTTTCTCTCTTTCTTTCTTTTCTGTTGTTACTCTCGTTTTTTCTTTTTCTTTTTTCTGTTCCACTTTCACTTTTATTCGTTCTATTTTTTTTTATTTTCTCATTACTTTTCTTTTTTCTTTGTTTCTTTCTTTCTTATGTTTTCTTTCTCTTAACTTTTGCCCATTTTTCTTTTCCTCATTGTCTCTCCCTTTTCTCCTTCCTTTCTCCTTCTTTTTCTCTATCTCTTTCTTTCTTTTCTTGAGTTTTCTTCCTAATCTCCACTGCTTTACATTATTGATTTTTTCTTTTGATCCTTTTCATTATGTCTCTTTTTATTTTTTCACCTTTCCACGCATTCTCCTTTCTTTCTTTCTTTCTTTCTTTCTTTCTTTCTTTCATTCTTTTTTATTTCTTTCATTCTTCTTCTTTCTTCTTTCCTTCTTTTCCTTTTTTCTTTCTTTCCTTCTTTTTCTTACTTTTTTCTTTCTTTCCTTCTTTTTCTTTTTTCTTTCTTTCCTTCTTTTTCTCTCTTTCTTTCATTCTTTTTCTTTCTTTCATTCTTTTTCTTTCTTTTATCTTTTCTTCTTTTTCTTTCTTTTTTCTTTTTCTTTCTTTTTCTTTCTTTTTTCTTTCTTTTTCTTTCTTTCTTTCTTTCTTTTTCTTTCTTTCCTTTTTTCTTTCTTTCCTTTTTCTTTCTTTCTTTCCTTCTTTTTCTTTTTTCTTTCTTTTTTCTTTCTTTCTTTCCTTCTTTTTCTTTTTTCTTTCTTTTTTGTTTCTTTCGTTCCTTCTTTTTCATTCTTTCTATCTTTCCTTCTTTTTCTTTCTTTCTTTCTTTCTTTCTTTCATTCTTTTTCTTTCTTTACTTCTTTTTCTTTTCTTTCTTTCTTTTTCTTTCTTTCTTTTATTCTTTTTCTTTCTTTTTTTCTTTATCTCTTTGTAATTTTTCTTATTTTTTCATACACGTTAAAATTAAAGCGTTCTTGCCACATCGTAGATCTCTATCTTTTCTTTCGCCGTCTCTCTCTCGCTCTCTCTCTCTCACACACACACACGCACACACACATACTCTTTTCCTCTCTTTCTATTTTTCCAGGCTTAATCATATACGTCATACACAATTCGCAAATTGAACAAACCTTGCTACAGCGTAAATCTCTCTCTCCTTCTCTCTCTCTCTCTCTCTCTCTCTCTCTCTCTCTATCTATCTATCTATCTATCTATCTAATTTTTCTGGGCTTTCTCCTACACATTAAAATTAAAGAGGTCTTGACCCAGCGTAAATGTTTCTCTATTATTCCCACGTCCTCTCTCTCTCTCCCAACCCCTCATTTCCCCACTCTCTCTCTTTCTCTCTCTCTCTCTCTCGCTCGCTCTTATTTCTTCACAATCCTATACATCAAAATTGAACAGGTCTCTCTACCTCTCTTTCTCTCTCTTCCATCTATATATCTATCTATCTCATTTTTCGGAACTTTCTCATACACATTAAAATTGAAGTGGTCTTGTCATAACGTAAATGTATCTCTTTCACTCCCGCTTCCTCTCACTACCAGCCCCTCCTTCTCTCTCACTTTTCTTTTCTCTCTCTCTCTCTCTCTCTCTCTCTCTCTCTCTCTCTCTCTCTCTTTTACAAGACTTAATCATACACATCAAATTTGGACAGGTTTTCCCACAGGGTAAATGTCTCTCCCTCTCTCTCTCTCTCTCTCTCTCTCTCTCTCTCTCTCTCTCTCTCACACACACACACACACACACACTCACACACACACACACATTCACTCACTCACTCTCACTCCCACACTCACACACGCACACACATAATCTATCTATCCTATTTTACCAGGACGTTCTCATACACATTAAAATTAAAGATGTCTTGCCATAGGATAATTGTCTTTTTTTTCTCTTCATCTCTCTTTCTCTCTATATCTCTCTTTCTCTGTTCCTTTCTTTCTAATTTATCCAGACATACTCATATCCATCAAAGATGTCTTGCCATAAAGTAAATATTTACCCCCACTCCATTCCCTATTATCTTAATCTTTCGATTTATTCTTTTATTTTTTTATTTACGTAATGTCTCTTGCTTGTTTACGTAATTTATTCCTGTGACCAAATATGAAAACATCATTGACCTTTTCTATTGAAAGTATAATAAAAGGTCAACCTTACAATAACATTTCATGACTAAATAACATTCGTAAAATCTGTAATTTGAATTCACGACAGCAGCCATCTTGAAAAGCGTGTGTATAAAGCGACAGTTTCAGATGAATCCAAAATATCTCTTCCAAACAGATACTGATATTTTCAGTTACTCACAGATTGTTTGCGACATATTTTAAAATAAACGGGCGATTTATGAGTCGTTCTCAAAAAAGAATTTTTTTTCTAATATCGAGAAAAACAAATAACGTTTTTGACCGCACGTCTGAGTTATTCACTTTCGAAATTTGTTTGTGTATCAATTGATTTGAAGACTGAAACGTCATTATTGGCTGAATTTTGATATTTTCTCTAAATAATGTTCGATCATAGGGATTAATTTTCATAATGTTTCAATAATTAATGATATAATGTTTCATAATATTTCATAAACTATAATGATATAAATTATAATGATATAATGTTTCATAATGTTTCATAATTAATCTTCATAATGTTTGTGTATCAATAGATTTGAAGACTGAAACGTAATTATTGACTGATATTTTCTCTGAATAATGTACGATAAGAGGGATTGATCTTCATCACTGAATTAAATGCATTGCAAAGAAGAATAATATAATAATATTTGTTAAGGAAAATGAATACTTTCCTTCGCCATTAGACCAAGGACTTAATGTTATATCGATGTGTTAATTGTAATTGTAATTTTCCAAACAAAATTTTCCAACCAAAATTTTCCATTGTACAAATAGTAAAATTTCTTAATGAATAGTATTAAATTGTCAGAATTTCTTAGATGGCGCATGTTGCGGGCCAGTGTATGCGTTTAGAGATAAACACGTATGTCTCCTGAAATGCCCACAACTAATATGGCAGACTCGGAATGTGAATCCACGTAAAAAAATGTGAAGAAAAAACAAGAACCAATATATATATCTGTACAAACAAATAATAATGTATCAACAATAAAATGTTACATATACAGTAGAATATCGTTGTGTGTTACTTGTTTGTTTGTTTGTTTGTTTTACGGCATATCAACTTCAATGGGTCATTTAACGCCGACAAAAATGTTTTTTTCTGGTAATATTTTTTTTTTCAAAAATCTATTTCCGGGAATATTTTTTTCTTCAAAAATCTATTTCTGAGAATATTTTTCCTTCAAGAAATCTATAGCCGGTATTTTTTATTTTATTTATTTATTTTTTTTTTTCGAAAAAAGTATAGCTGTTTGTATTAGTGGTACTTATTTTTAGGTATTGTTGATAATAATTTTTCCTTCAAAATTTATTGCTGGTAATTTTCTTTTACAAAGTATTTCTAGCATCAAAACCTATTTTTACACAAGTTTGAGTGTTAACTACTTGCCCATAGCTGGGACCCTAACTGGTGCTACCACCCCGAGTTAGGTTGGACCTAGGAACCCGAGTAATTAAAAGGTGGCTCCACACTCCCCAAAACCTCCGGATCAGAGGCCTTGCTGTTGGATGTAGTTTATCGTCTTACCCTGGACGGGATGTAGTTTATCGTCATACCCACGACGCGGATGTAGTTTATCGTCATACTCAGGACGAGTTGTGGGTTACTGAAGAATGTACATGAATTAAGAAAACATTTAAGCTAGTGAATTTTTGCGTGTGTGTAGTTTGGTGTAGGAGAAAGTCCTAGAAAAAAATGAAGTGAAAGGTGCGAATGCACGTGTGTGCGTGTATTGTTCATGCGTTTCCAAAAAGGGAACGCGTTCTTCCACGAGAAATTTACATTTTGACGTAACAAATAAGAAGAAGCTGCGAATAATTATCGCGGAGAATTTATAATGCCGGAAAGCGTCCCCCTTTGTTTGTTTGTTATGAGTGGATAAAGTTGGCACACAAAATTTAATAGAAGCAGGATTGTGGCAAATTTGAGCTGATGTAGAATTTCTACCGAGTGCTTAATGCATGTTTGAGAACTAAGAAAATTTGCTATTCTTGTCGATTGTATATGGCACTTGCAAATTCTTAGTGTTGTTCGAGTAGCATCGTCGAAGAGTGACAAAATAAAGGACAGTGAGTCGCGTTTTGAGATGTATCACACTTCATCTGATGAGCCCAGAAGAAACAGTGTTGAGTAAAGTTGAAATGGGGTTGTATTTTCGTTTTGTGGGGAAAAAAAACAATTTTAAAGATGTCTGCCGGTTGAGATCAAATCGAGCGTAATGGTGGTGTTTGTTATTTGCCAGAGTCGACATTTTCAAAAGACTGAAAAGTCTGTATATTGACTAAGATTTCGACATATACTGCTGGGTCAAGCAAAATGAAGACAAGGGAAGAGGCGTGTGCTGTATACCTACTGAAAGAACCAATGTACCAGTAAGTGAAAGGCAAATAGCGATTTTTTCGGGTCCCACATGATGCAAAAAAAATATATATCTGCCGAGTCAGAGAACATCACGTGTTTTGTATATATTTTGTAATATGTGATTTTGCACTTAGATAGGTCTAATCACAAATTTTGTAGCTGTGTAAATTGTTTTTGCAAGTAGTTTAATGTCTGTAAATGTATGAGTCTGTACATATATATATATATATATATATATATATATATATATATGACGTCATCCACAGACAGACTGTTTCGCAGCTCATCAGTGTGGCTAGACATCCGGTTGACTCTAGCTAAGATCGAAACCCTACTGAATTGGTGTCAGTCGGAGATTCTAACCATTAAGCTGTCGGCGTACGGTAGGGATGACAGTGTATTTTTTAGCGTATTTATTTTTAGAAACACGCCCAGTGACCGACAGTGACTCAATTCGCATCTGCGAAGAGTCTCGCTATATAGCTATAATAGTCACTGTTTACCAACCCACACCTCGTCCCCAGAGAGCTCAAATATATATATATATATATATATATATATATATATATATATATAGTCGTGTGTTTCTTGTTATAATATTCACGCCATGGTCACCAATCTGTTGCGGGACGGTGTACGCGTTGAGAGATAAACATTTATGTCTCCTGAAATGCCTAGAACCAACATGGCGGACTCAGCATATGAGTCCGCGTAAAAAAAAATTAAAGAAACAACAAGTACCAATATATATGTGTACAAACAAATCATAATGTATAAACAATAAAGGGTTACATATACAATAGAATATTGTTGTGTGTTGCTGAACAATGAACATGAAGAAAACATTTCAGCTAGTGAATTGTTTGCGTATGTGTAGTTTGGTGTAGGAGAAAGTCCTAGAAAAAATTAAATGAAAGGTGCGTACGTGTGTGTGTGTGTGTGTGTGTGTGTGTGTGTGTGTGTGTATTCTTTATGCGTGACCCACTAAGACATGCCGGAAAGCGTCCCCTACTAGCGGAAAGCGTCCCCTACTAGCGGTTTCCCAAATTAGGAAGAGGTAACCCGACAAGCATTAGAAATTATTATTTTTATTTTAACTAGTATTTTTTTTAATCTTATTTTTATTGCTTTACCACGAGAGAGTAATAATCTTAAGTTGTCTGAATTTCTTAGGTAAAACACTGTCTATTTATTATTCATTTTTGACTAGTATTTCTTTCATCTTATTTCTCTTGCTTTTCCATCAAGTAGTAATAGTCTTAAGTTGTCTGAATTTCTTAGATGAAGCCTTGGCAATTATTATTCATTTTTGACTAGTATTTCTATCATCTTATTTCTCTTGCTTTTCCACCAAGTAGTAATAGTCTTAAGTTGTCTGAATTTCTTAGATGAAGCCTTGGCAATTATTATTCATTTTTTCACTAGTATTTCTTTCATCTTATTTCTCTTGCTTTTCCACCAAGTAGTAATAGTCTTAAGTTGTCTGAATTTCTTAGATGAAGCCTTGTCAATTATTATTCATTTTGACTAGTATTTCTATCATCTTATTTCTCTTGCTTTTCCACCAAGTAGTAATAGTCTTAAGTTGTCTGAATTTCTTAGATGAAGCCTTGTCAATTATTATTCATTTTTGACTAGTATTTCTTTCATCTTATTTCTCTTGCTTTTCCACCAAGTAGTAATAGTCTTAAGTTGTCTGAATTTCTTAGATGAAGCCTTGGCAATTATTATTCATTTTTGACTAGTATTTCTTTCATCTTATTTCTCTTGCTTTTCCACCAAGTAGTAATAGTCTTAAGTTGTCTGAATTTCTTAGATGAAGCCTTGGCAATTATTATTCATTTTTGACTAGTATTTCTTTCATCTTATTTCTCTTGCTTTTCCACCAAGTAGTAATAGTCTTAAGTTGTCTGAATTTCTTAGATGAAGCCTTAGCAATTATTATTCATTTTTGACTAGTATTTCTTTCATCATTATTTGCCTTTACACCTTATGATACCTATCGACTATATACAACAATTTTCTCAGATGAATTATGAAAACAGACTTCAAGCAGATGAGACCTGTGAAACAGATCTGCATTACAGATCTCGCATATATCTCTATCTATAAAAGGCAGGAGGTGTGTGTGTGTGTGTGTGTGTGTGTGTGTGTTTATGATAAGAATGCACGGCCGCAATTTTCGACGGAATTGCACCAAAATTTACATGCACATGCTCCAAGTTAGCGGAAAGGCCAACACTGACTTTGCATTTCCCAACTCCCGTTGATAGTGGAAATAATCGATTTTTTTTCATGCTCCTACGGCAGTTTTCATGTAGTTTCCGGCTATTTTCTACTGGCCAGAGTGAGATCCAAAAACTGACTGACACGAATGTTAACTAGCATGCTAGCATGCAAAAAATCGATAGCTGCATTCGTCACAAGTGGGAAAAATTTAAATCTGCATGGCACTTTACTCCAATTGGCTCATTCACTTGCTTAAACTCAACGTTGA